TCAACCATCCGATTATCTTCCAGCGACTCTAAGTTTTCTTATAGTTTGTTATCATTAAAGTATTTCTTTTAATTTTTTTCTTAAACTGAAATAGTCGGATGATACACTTGAAATAGTCGGATGTTATCATTAATTTTTTCTTTTAAAAAATTGAAATCTTAAACTGAAAAATTAAAATTTAATTTTCATTGATTTGATTCATTAAACAATAAAGTATGATATACTTTAAAGTTTTCAGTTTTTTTTATTTTTTTAATATTTCAGTTTTTTCAGTTTAATTTTTCAATAAAGTATTTCAATTTTATTTTCAGTTTAATTTTTCAATTTTTTTCTGAATTTAATTGATATTTTGGTTTTGTATTTCTTATTTTAATATTTTAAGCGTTCTAGGCTCTTGTTAATTATCTTTCTTGGTGTGTTATTTTTCAAGATTGAAGGATATTTGCTTGTTATGTACTCTTTGTTGACTTTATGTGCTATCTTTAAACATAAATTTGCTTTGGTTATGGTATTTTGACATATAAATATATATATATTCTTGTTGGGTTAATGTAGATATATATAATGTTAAAAATTTCAATACTAATTATGATTTGTCGACTAGTCTACGACTAGTCGCCTAGTCCACTAGTCTCCCCGTCACTGACTCGACTCGACTTGTCGACTTGACAACCATGGGCCCAAGGTATCAAGGCGAGGAAAGGCGACGCCTAGGCGATCGCCTGGTCGCCTTTAGGTTTTCTAGGCGAGTCGAGCAGACAAGGCGTCCCAGTGACAGCGCCTTATTGCCTAGGCGACGCCTTACAAACTATGGTTGGGTGAAGATCATATCCTCAATTATTGGGAAAATAGAATACCAAACAACTATTCTTTTACTTGTATTTCATTCAAAGGTTATCAATTTTGCAAGAACCTATACCATACACCTCACTTTGATGCCATGTAGTTATCACTGGTATTTCTTCCCATAGTCCACACAACTTGGTGTGGAAGGCTGGAACAGTTTGCTTCTTTTGTTGAAGAAGATTAATAGCCTAACATAGTGTGTATGCCTGGGGTGCACTTCCTGTTGCCTAAATGCTACTAATCTTTTTTTCTAAATCCGTAGTTGTAGTTGTGTTGTTTTCATCCTTATTGTTCATCTTTTGTATGTAGTTCTAATCTTTTTTGTTTGTTTGTTTGTTTGCTTGAGCCGGGGGTATTTCAGATATAAGCTCTCATCCTCTTTAGAATAAATATCTGCTGGCATTTTTAGATTATGCATCATTGATGATCAATTTCCCTATCGTCATTTTTTTCGTCAACGTGCTTCACAAATTAGTTTGTTAAAATTGTCAATGTGTTCATGCATTAATGGGTGGCTAATTTGTGCATAATATTTCTGTGATTTATGGCTTGTTTCCAGGAGATGGCTTTTGATGAGACAACTGACCCGGCGTAATGTACAGATTTCAGTCATGGATGACGGAAACCAACAAGAACAAAGAGAACAATCTCGAAAAGATTATGTAATTATGTAAAGTCTTGGTTAATAGCTAAATACCACAAACGAATGTCCTCCTACAGGGGACACAAATGGTTATTTGCTCCATGAATTGTTTTTTATTATTCCCTCTGCTTGTGACTATAGCGAAGTTTCAGTTAATCTGTATATGCTACTGGGGTATGGGATGGTATTCTGCCCAATAATATGAAATGGATTGCACTTTGGGGGAGTTCAATCAGGGTAATATGGAATTACCTCTTGTTTTCCATCCAGTAAGAAACTAACTGGACAAGTTATTTATATTAGAGGGCATTTATTTTGACAACATTTATTTACGATACCAACACGACACCACTTCATTTAGGGCACCGTACATGCGTAAAATTGATAGTTTTACCGCTTTAAATCTTCCTGTACCATGTGATCGTTGATTTGGCAACATTTATTTGCTTGCAAAATTGGCGATTAGGCTAGAAGAGTTTATTATACGTTAATAAATAATTAAATGTACTCTATATGTAGTACTCCCTCCGTCCCTCATAGATCTTCTCAATAGCCCTTTTTCATTGTCCACAATAGATCTTCTCATTTCATTTTTTAACAATTAAAATACCACAACTACCCCCACTTACTTTATTTATTACACCTCACCCACTTCATTTAATACACTCCATCCATTTTTCATTAAGGGTATTATGGTAAACTTTCACCTTTTTTCAACTCTCCTTAAAAACTACCAAAAGTCAAAATGAGAACATCTTAGTGGGATGGAGGGAGTAATAAATATCCTTTTCTTTTCTAAATAAAATCATGGAGAGATTTATGAGGTAGAATTTTTTTTAGAAGATTTTTTAATTTAAAAATTTGTATAAAAGTGAAAAATAGAATTTATATATTTAAAAATTACATAAAAAAATTTAAATATGAAATAATAATAAAATTATTTGATTACATTATTTATTTATTTTATCAAATAATCAAAGAAAATATATAAACAATATAATTAATTGAGTCTTTAACAACTATTTTGGAACAACTAAATTTGTCTTAACATGTTGTAATAAAAAAATAATATAATTAGGCAATCAAAACAATTACTTCAACTGTTCAAATCACTCAATCCAAACAACAAACCTTCAACCATCCACAAAGCAATTTCTAAACCAAACCATTCCCCAAGTCTGTACTCTAAGTATTTTGACTATTTTCAACTTGTGTACTATCCCTAGCACAAAGTCACAAACCCCTAAATACCTATTGCTATATTTGCATGCCTTTTTTTACTCTCAGAAGCCCTAAGACCCAACGCTTCCAAGAAAAACCTCTTACCAATAGGAAGCCTAGCCGTTTCAGCCTTCAGGAACCACCCCCCGTCCCCAATCGATCAGCGGCCTGAAGAACTCACCGGCGGCGATATGGGCGGCCCGGAAAAGGCGGGGAATGAAGGGAAGAAGCAGCAGCCGGAAGCTCCCAAAGCGACGTCGTTTGATCTGGACGATTACAAGATTATCAAGGAAGGCGAAGCCGAGATTCTTATGCACGCCAATAATGTAGTCTTTTACAACAAAGCCCAGGTCTTTTATCTCCTTCCTTCGAAACTCCCCCCCACCCACCAAAATTCTTTCTCAATTACAAGTTAAAGAAGCTTACTCGTTTTAATGGACTCCAGTGTTTATTGTGTTGGGACCTTGTGTTTGGCTGCAAGATTCCTTTTTTCGGTAATTAACAGAGAAACTAGCAGCTTTATCCCATATGCTATCATTAATTTAGTTTATATGAGTGGGACTTTTGTTTACTCCTTTAGGTAGAATGGATACTAAATTAGCCAGTTTTGGATGGCTCACAAAAAAAAATCATTTTTGGTGTCACATTGCAATGCTTATGGAAATATATAATCTGTGACATCATTTCTTTAGCTTTGGGTTTTTTCAGGCCTTTAGGTCCCTCCTTTTAGACAAGGAATCCCCATATTTCTGGCTTTTAAAAATTCATCCTCTACTGGTCAAAGAGCGGACCATCCCTATTTCCTAATCAAGGGTGTTCATTTGCTGTTTACTTTTGAATCCCTTACCACTTCTCTTTTCTATTGTGGTATGGAGGCATTACTTTGTCAAGTGTTATAATTATTACGCTGTATAAATAAAGTAAAAAAACTGTGACAGTTTTAAATCTGGAACATCAGGTTAACAACAGAGATATGTCTATTGCTGTTCTGAGAAAATTTATAGTAAGACGGAAGCAAGAGCAGGAAGCACTTGTGGCAAGAAAAACAAAGACAGCTTCAAAGGATACAGATAATTCTGATACTAAACTTGGTTCTCCAGTCCATTTTGATCAAGATAATGGAGCATCAAACAATGGGCATGATGAAGTCACAAAAGAGATGTCTCAGGATGAGCAGTGTAGCATTTCAGAAGAACCAACAAAGAGTCTGGGGGGAAAATGCAGAGAGCTGAAGCCACCACGGATCCTTGAGGTTTCATCATAACTTTGCCATACTTCTTTATTGCTAGTCTGAAGGATTTAAAAATGTGACGCTGTTTTTGGCTTGTATGTAATGACTCTTGACAGGCACTATCAGCTTCGGGTTTGAGGGCTTTACGATATGCACGTGAAATTGAAGGGATTGGTCAAGTTGTTGCCTTGGACAATGATCCGGGTAAATGATCTCCTACCTTTTGCAGTGTGTAAGGATATAAAAATGAATGAGGTGTTTTCCCTCGTTGCCTTAAAAATAAGAGTTGGATACAATCTTGCTAGAATCAAATGGTAGATAATACTTCCTGTTATCGCATTGATGAGTTGTGTGGTCCTGCGTATATGCATTAGAAGTTGATTAAGAATGCATTTAAACTTTGTGTCAACTACGTCATCTTATTTCATGAGTGGAAATGATTTCCCTCTTTTTGCAGCCTCTGTTGAAGCTTGTCAGAGAAACATAAAGTTCAATGGTTCTGTGGCCTGTGCAAAGGTTGAGTCTCACATTGACGATGCTCGAGTTTACATGCTCACTCATCCAAAAGATTTTGATGCGGTACGTGGATATAAATGATAACTTCTGTACTCTTTGATGGTATAAATAATATTTAAAGGCAGCCAATTAGTAGTTTCTAGTATACAATTGTTTCTTTTTGTGCTGAACTCATACATATGTATGAGATCAATAATTTTATTTGGAGCATAACAATCTTTACTACCTAAAGTATCTTGTTGTTCGTGTAACATTTTTCTGGTTGAATAATATCAGGTTGACCTTGATCCATATGGTTCTCCCTCTGTGTTCCTTGATGCTGCTGTTCAATCAGTTGTTGATGGAGGCATATTAATGTGTACTGCAACTGATATGGCAGTGCTGTGTGGAGGAAATGGGGAGGTCTGCTATTCGAAGTAAGGTTCATATGACACTTTCTTTTAATTGAACAAATTTCTCTGTAATTCTTATTGAATTTGATGGTGGCTAAACGTGGACTTACTTGATACACCTGTACAACCAGGTATGGCTCCTATCCACTTAGAGGGAAATACTGTCATGAAATGGCATTGAGGATACTTCTTGCCTCCATTGAGGTATGATTTTTCTGTGTTAGTTTTCATATCTGAGAGCCAACAATTCAAGGTCTCATAAATATAGTTTTTTTTACTTGATTATTTGATTAACTATGCCCTCTGCTAAGCATTGGTACATGTCAACAGTTTGCTGTTTCACTGTTATATATGGTTCCACCTGAAAGGTGGGGGGTGGCGGGGGGATAGGGGGGACGGAGGGGGAGTAAATATCAAATTATCACCTTGGTTTGTGGATCTACAGAATGCGATCGTACTTTAAATTTAGAAGATTGTTTTTGCTTTGGGGGGATTGGAAGAAAGTGTCTTTTACTAAACTTAATACTGTGGGGAAACTCTTGTGGACTCTCTCTCTGCTTATTTGTATGAAAATAGACTAGAGAGTTTGTTGTTAGTTCTTTCTTTTAACGAAATAATGTTTATGCTTAATCTTCTCTTAAACTATGTTGCATCACCATCTTTTAAAAATTCTATTTCAGAGCCATGCAAATCGACATAAAAGATATATTGTCCCCATATTGTCAATTCAGATGGACTTCTATGTGCGGGTCTTTGTCCGTATCTATACGTAAGTAGTTTTTCCTTTATTATTGGTGCTTCACTTTGGCCAGTTGAGAAATATGCATAGAGCATCAAACATCGAGTATGTCTTAGATTATCTGTTCCAGATGTCAGTCTATTATTGAGGCCTTAACTTTCCAAGAACTGTTTACAGTTCAGCAAGTGCTATGAAAAACACTCCTTTAAAGCTGTCATACGTGTATCAGTGCATCGGCTGTGATTCTTTTCATCTGCAGCCAATTGGAAGAACTGTCTCAAAGGTATTATTATTAAAGTTCATTTAATCTTCATTACATTTTTCCCACATTCTTGCTACAAAAATGGGACCAGGATGTAAGGTAACAATCCTTTATGTTTGTTATTGGTTTTTATTTTCGTGGCTTCCCAGATGTTTGACCCAAGATTATGTTCTATTTTTCATGAGTGAGGATGAGGTGGAAGCTTAAGCATTTAACCATTACGTTTTATGCATTTTGAGATTACATAGTTGTTTTTTTGCCTTTCCCTAGAACAACAGTGTGAGATTTCTTCCTGGGTTTGGTCCTACAGTACCACAAGAGTGCAGTGATTGTGGTAAGAAGTTCAACATGGGTGGACCTATATGGTCTGCTCCCATTCATGATCAGGAATGGGTGGCTTCCATTCTTGCTGATGTAAAATCAAANGGGGGGCTCAACAAGGAATAAAAAAACCGCATCTATAAACTAAAAGAGAATATACCAATTTGAAAAACAATTCAGCCATATCATATAGACTTCCATATTGAAATTAAATAAATGGAAAGCCGACTTGACTTGATCATTCTTGTTTGTAGGAATTACCAGATGTTCCTTTGTTTCTCAGTTTGCACAATCTCTGTGCGACGCTCAAATGCACTTCTCCCTCTGCCATTATATTTCGCTCTGCAGTCCTGAATGCAGGATATCGTATATCAGGAACTCATGTGAATCCTCTTGGGCTGAAGACAGATGCTCCGATGGAAGTCATATGGGATATAATGCGGTGCTGGGTAAGTCGATTGTGTGCATGACCCATGAATACGTATGGACGAAGTAAAGATAATAATGTGTGATCTTATGACTTATAGAGGATTGGAACATGAACTATATATACTACTCTTGTAAATGATTTTTGTATGTAGGTCAAAAATCATCCCGTGAAAGCTCAATCACCTGAACTGTCTGGGAGCATTATTCTTTCCAAAGAACCTGTTCTGCAGGTACTTTTCATATGATCTGCTGCGAATTATTTCCCAAACCAACAACAAACCCAGTAGAATCTTACAAAAAAGTATGGTCTGGGGAGGGTGTGTGTGTACGCAGACCTTACCCTATATGTGAATTTAGATTGGTGCTTAGTGCCTATATGTGAATTTTTAGAACACATGTTTAAACCGGGCGTGCTAAAAAAAGGCTTGCTTCATTGTTTTCATCTGTTTTAGGCAAACTTTTCACGGGCGGTTGCATCACTGAGCAAGGCACAGGCAAAGAAGGTTGCACGTTTCCTTCCCAACCCGGAACGGCATTGGGGCCCAAAACTCAGAGCAGGCCGGCAGATCACGAGCAAACATGTTTCTCTCTTGGGCCCAGAAGCAGTGAATGGATTAATCAACAACAGCCACGACGAAGAGAGTGAAGAACCTGCAGCAAAGCGTACGAAGACAGAAGATCCCGTTCTTGATTCATAGAGTTAATTAATCTCTCAAAATTTAAATGTCTTGCTCTCCCATGCCGAGTTTTTGATCTGATAATAATATGTTAATTCTGCTGCCATTGACTTGCTCAGAGAAGGAAGAAGCAGACCATTCGAGCGAAGTTGTTTCATCAAAATGAAGAGACCACAGACAAGTGTGTTAAAATTTTGAATCCTCAAGGAAAGTCTTTTTTTATTTATTCGCGTGTTTTATTGCTGTCCGTTCTCCTGTGTACAAACAATATTTATTTGTGTTTTCGCCCAGCTATGAATCATGAACTACCGATGTGCTGGAAACAGAGATTATCTCCGGATACAGAAATTTTTATTCCTTTGAGAATTGTAAATTGACAAATTGTAGCTCGGAGTTTGAAAATTTACTTAACAGTTAGACGTTCTTTCATTCATCATTAGTTTCAAGTTTGTAGCCGGCTTAGCTAAAAACTACGAGTAAGAGTTTCAAATTAGTTGAGGGCTAAGCAAATCTCGTTATCACTTTGAATAACAACAACAACAACAACAATAATAATAATAAATACTCCTTCCGTCCTAATTCTTTCTTCCCAGTTTGACTTTTTTCCATTTTTAATTTTTGGCTTTGACTTCAAATTTTACCCTCCTTAAAAAAGGATTTTTTGTCAATCATTCAAAATATAGAGTTAGAAGATAATTGGTGTAAATACATGAGGGTATTAATGTCATTTGTTATCTTTTTTTCCTAATGAGAAGGTAGTTTTAGGACGGAGAAAAAGGGGAAGTGGGAAGAAAGTTTTAGACAGAGGGAGTATAATAATAAGAACAATAACAATAATAATAATAAAATTAAAATAATAATAATACACAGTAATATGGAGTATAACTACTGGGAAGTTAAAACTACAATATTAGGCTTTGTTTGGTAACAACGTTTTCGATTAGCGTTAGCGTTTTGGATAACATTTTAACGGTGCAGATGAATTCAGAAAACGCTAACGCTAAAAGCTACCGTCGGATAGCTTTTTCAAAACGCTAACGTTAATCTCTGACGCTGATGCCAAACGGGGCCTTAGACTAGCTTATTTTTGTTTTTGGTTCTTTGGTTGTGGATCGTGTTTGACTTGTTTGTTGTGTGCCAAAGTAAGCAGTTCCTGATTTTTAACCTACTGGCTAGGGCTGGATCCGGTCTGGTTCTAAATCAGTACTAGAATGGTCGAGATGATTTGTGAGGAGAATTTGCCTCACATATTATGAACATTTAAGATAATGAGAGAAAGAAAGAGTTTGACCTTTTTGAGTGTTTATATAATAAAAAAAATTAAGTTTTTTATGGGAATCCTTTGGAAGAAACAGAAGTTACTCCTGCCCCGAAGATAAAGAAATGTTGTAAAGGGGTGCGGCCTCCCCCTCGACCGTTTGTTCGACCACAAAGGGTAGGGCCATTCCCGCGACCAAAGGGCGGTCGAACGCAGTCTCGACCGCCTAAAGAGAAAAGTATCGTATGAGTTCCTTCAGAAGTTGAATAAGCTATGCTCAGTTTTTGTTTCATCTCAAGATTAATTTCTTCAGAGATGAGACATCCAAAGAGCTCAATGAGAGAGATATTTTCATTGTTCATTCAAATTTTCTATTTAAAAGAGGAATATTTGGCGGGGAAACCACAGATGACAACATTCACCTCATCACGTTCGGGGATTTCTGCATCAAATAGGGAATACATAAGGGAGTTCTTAACATGGTAAGAAAAGACTTCTAGTAACAACACAATGCAATAAGAAATGAAATACTCCATCCGTCCTAAAATTAACTTTTCATTTGACTTTTCACGATATTCAATGCTTTTTTGATCATTAATATAATAATATCTCAATTTTTGTATAAATATATATTATAAAAATACTCCCTCCGTCCTATATTGTTTTTTCCCGTTTCTGTTTACGAGGTTTGACCGACTTTATTTTCAATTCAATTTATTTGATTGTAAGTGTAAAATTAAAAAAAATAAAATTTATATATTTAAAAACTACATCAAAAATTTTACTAAACAAGTGGTGACAAACTATTATTTTATCAAATATCTAATGAAAATTGGTAAAGAAAGTGATTAAAGTTTGTCCGTGTAAAAAGTAACTAGGAAAAACATTTTAGGATGGAGGGAGTAATATATTTCAAAACTATGTTTCAAAAAGAATCTATTGACAATAAATTTTATGAAAATTTAATTTATTTTTCTGTAATAAACGGTCAAAGTTTAAAAAATATTTAAGTCAAAAGTCAAACTAGAAAATTAATTTTAGGATGGAGAGAGTAATAAGGAATGGTAATTGAATACTCCCCTATCCCCCATAGATCTCCCCAATAGCCATTTTTCTTTGTCCATAATAGATCTTCTCACTTCATTTTTTAACAATTAAAATACCACAACTACCCCTACTTACTTTATTTATTAGACCTCACCCACCTCATACTTAAAAAGAAAATGAGCCACTCTTCAACTAGCCACCCATAGCTCTGGCCTCTGGGATGTGGATACCATGGTCAGGACTCAGGAAGTCTCGTACGATCAGAAGGGAAACAGATTTAAGCTGAAATTGTGTAATGTACAGGCATAGCAATTTGATCAAGCTTGGACTTAACACTAATGCCGTATATGCCACAAAGCTCATTACCCTCTATTTGTCCTCAGGGCTTGCCAACTCCCTGAGTCACGCCCACCAGCTGTTTGATGAAGTGCCTGTGAAAGACCCACCATTGTGGACCTCTCTCATAGCTGCTTACGCTCGTCACTGTCAACCTGAGAATGCCCTCCATCTCTTCTTCCTCATGCTCCGTCAATCCAAACCAGATTTGGAAGCCTGCCCCAACCACTTTGCAATCACTGCCGTTGCCCGTGCCATTGCATCAGCTCCACAACACCTCTTATTTGGCCACGTTCTTCATGCTTGTATCATAAAAACTGGAATTGTTCCAGGAAAAGTCGTTGCTGGAACTTCGTTTCTTGATATGTATTCTAAGTGTGGGGCCGTGGAGTCTGCAAGGAAGTTGTTTGAGGACATGTCGTACCGAAATCATGTGACATGGAATGCCATGTTGTTTGGGTACATGCAAAATTCAATGGAATCTCATGGGTTAATGTTGTTTTATCGGATGAAGTGTGGAGAATTCATTGCTCCAGATGAGTATAGCATTTCAACTGTGATGTCTGGTTGCGCACATGTTCAAGATCTTGTTTTGGGTATGCAAGTTCATGGATACGCCATCCGTGGAGGATTTGAAGTAAGTTGTGCCAATTCCATCGCTAATATGTATTTTTCATGTGGTAGGATTGTGTGTGCTAAGATAATTGTTGATGTTGTGCACAAGGACATGGTTTCGAAGCTTTTAAGCATTAGGGGTTATATTTTAAATCACAGCTATGTTGATGCATTTAGATATTTATGCTCTTTGGATAATATAGTTGAAATTTTGAACACGGATTATACAATTTTTGTGCCTCTGCTTACTCTGTGCACAAAATTATCTCTGGTCCGAGTTGGGAAGCAAGTCCACGGCCTCTTTATTGCTCTGGTGCATTCGAATAAGATTATTAAGTCCTTAGATGAGAACGGGACAATAATTGGTTGCACATTAATTGAGATGTATTGCAAGTGTGGTGATATTGCTGAAGGAAAGAAAGTTTTTGAAACATGGCCGTGGGAACAACATGTTTCACTCTGGAACACATTAGTATCTGGCTACATACAGAATGGCCTTGTTGAGGCTGCTAGCGTGCTGTTTGAAGTGATGCCCGAGAAAGATGTTGTTTCTTGGACTAGCATGATGACAGGGTTCGTGCAGAACGACATGCCTCAAGAAGGACTAAATTTACTGGGTAAAATGTATTGCTCTTCTGAAGAAGGTTATGGAGTTGATGGGAACTCCTTGACTTTTGTAGTAGGCCTTGAAGCATGCACCTGTTTAACGGATTTGGAAAGGGGGAAGCAGATACACGCAAAAATCATCCGCAGATCACCCGGTTCTGGTGCTAATAATAATGTGGTTGTTGGAACAGCTTTGGTGGAAATGTATTCAAGATCGGGTAGTTTGCATTATGCCCGAAGAGTTTTTGATTCAATGGAACAGAAAAATGTCGTTGCATGGACATCCATACTCACAGGTTTCGCAGCTCACGGATACGGTTTTCAAGCGCTTGAAGTGTTCCATAAAATGCTGAACAATGGAATCAAACCAAATGCGGTGACATTTGTTGCAGTATTGACTGCTTGCAGTCATTGTGGTTTGGTGGATGAGGGACTCCGATGTTTCAAGGAAATGAAAAATTACGGATTGATTCCAGAAGAAGATCATTACACATGTTTAATCGATATGTTGGGGAGACATGGGAGGCTTGAAGATGCATGGCTTTTGGTGAACGGAATTCAAGGGCAAGCTGATGGGGCTTCATCTGGTGCCATTTGGGCAGCACTGCTCGGGGCTTGTCAATTATATGGAAATGTAGAAATTGGAAGAAAAGTAGCGCCGAAGATATTAAAAAACGGAAACCAGAATTCTAGGGCTCTTATTGCATTATCTAATGTCTATGCAGCAGCAGGGATGTGGAATGAAGCATATGGAACAAGAAGGGCACTTCAGATCAGCGAAGGCGATGCCAATGGAGAGGCTGCCATTAGCCGTGTCTGCATGCCTCCTCTTCTTTCATGAGAACTTTCCAAGTCTATTATATATATAAAAGTAGAATCAAAATTGAGTGAAATCCTATCCAATTTCTGCTCCAATTTCAAGGAATCTGACGGCTCAATTTTATCCTAAATGACCAAATCTGGCCGTCAATTACGAACGTCGGTTGATCTGGATTTTTTCGTGAAGATTTGCAACGTTTTCTCTCCACCCGACGAGTCCCTCTGGTTTTCCCTACTGCGGATTCTCCTCTACTGGCCCATCATCACCAGATTCTCCTCTGCCGGGTCTTCCAAATTACAATCCCGACCACCTTTACTTTGTCTGGTGTGTCCCTGACGTCGCGGGCACCTTTTGAGTCGCGATCTCTTCCGAGGTATGGCGTGTCGGTGTTATATAGAGTATGATGATAATTCATTGATATTATACGAAAAGGTTCCATACGTTTATCCGCCTTGATAATAATTACTTTCATCTTTGTTTAACTGCATATTCAATAATTGAATTTAATCTCTGCAGATTTTTGCTATCTGTTAATCAGTGTTTTTCTTCGCCGTGATGGAATTGTTGTTACTCAGGCGGGCAGTCGGAAAGGGAACAGATTTTGTTTTGGATTTCAATGTTTTGTTTGGGTGCTGTACTTTGGGGTTATGCTCCTAAGTCAATTGATTGTAGA